CGTTTAGTCTGTATGTTTTTTGACTCCGGAAAAATAATAGATCAATTCTTCTGTTGCAAAAAACTTAGAAAGCCCACAACAGGGCAGAATGTTTTAACACTCTGGCTTCCAATTTGAAATCTCTGGGTTTATCTTGTGAATCACAACTGTACACCTAACAGTAATCACACTGCGTGGCACCCCACAACACCCTTGAAAGGATTTCAAGGCACCCAAGGTTGAGAATCACTGGACTCGTGGATTTTCTGCTGATGTGCACATAGAGCACCTAACATATTTTGCCACTGCTGTACAGATTGTTCTGCATATACATCATGTGTGTCAGGTAGGGATGTGATTTTTTTTAGCAATACAAACCCTAGTGGGACACAGCTTTACTGGTGTAACTGTCCCTATGCAGGCTTATTTTGTGCTATTAGCTATACCAGTATAACCAGAGCAGCCAAACCCTCCTTGTGTTGACAAGGTCTTTTACCTCTTTTCGAACAGAAAAAGCTACATTGATGTACCAATATGAGAGGGTCATACTACTTTCTTTTTACTACTTTTCCAGTATGCTAACAATTAGGTTTAGCGTGGACACCACACTTTCTACCCATTGCCCTCAAAGCACCTTACAAAGACAGGTAAACATTATACAGCTGATGAGAACGTTTACACATGGAGCTATTTGGGATAACTCCGTGTGTGCCTTTTTCTGAATTAACTTAAACCACTTTAAAAGAGCCTCCTAATTGTACGCTGAAAATGTCCACAGAGTCATTCTGGAATAACAATTCCACTCTCAATTCACAGGATGGCCTTTCATTGATTCAAAACAATTAAGCAGATCGTTAGTCACAAGGGGAATGAAGACTGGTTGCTGTGCACAGGTTGGGTTTCCGGAAGGACAAACTGGGAGAAAAGATGATTCCCTTAGCTGTGCTGTGACGTGCTGTGCTGCTAATTATTGCCTAGAGGGTGGAGATTCTGAGACTGAAAATGTGAATCACAGGGGAAAATCCAGTGCCATAAACGAGTATTAATAGCAGTTTATTTTAACCTTTCACCTGCCCATGGTGAGCCAGGCTCTCCTTTTGTATCAGTAAATGCTCATGTGTACATGACAGTGCATGTATACGCATGCAAAACTGCAAAGCAATAATCATTTGCGCTTCCAGATAAAAATCCTAAAGTCAGATCTTTGTATTCACTCAGTGGAACTCTTGCTATTGATTTCAGCAGGGGCAGGACCTCACTCTATTTAGGGTCTAGGTTAGGCTAAATTAAATCCAACAGTCCAGCTGATATTATTAACCACAAGGTAGCTGCAGCACTATTAAAACTAAGTGATTTTTTGAGGAATTTCACTTCCCTGGTCCTTACATGGAAAGAGAGTTCCTTGGTTTTCAGCTACATTCAAACATGGAGTATGACAGACCCTCAGCAGCGAAACATGACAAGATCCTCATATGAAAAAGGACCAGGGCAAAACTATAGGTTTCATTACTTCAACACAGTCCTTGATTTTGCACATCTCTCCTGCTGGGGTCAGGAAAGGACATTCACTGGCTCCATCACATGACCAACATTTAGGACATGTGATATTTTGGCCAGACTCTATACACTGTAAGTGAATAGAGAGGCCCCCCGCTGGTTGGACTCTATTACTACAGCCAGACAAATGGCTCATGCGTAATAGAGGTAAGTCTTTTTCAGAACTCCACCAAGCGCTTCCTTCTTTTGCCCTTCCGTCTTACCATGACTGGCATTTAAACTTATGAGTTTCTGGGACAAGACTGAGATTGTTACAAACAAGGTCAGCGGTCTTATGCTACACAAAATGCCTGCCCTACCCAGCACCGACTCAGAAGAGACCGATCTTCAGGAGCTCACGTAGTTCTATACTCCTAGGTCTGACATGAGGCCACCTTTCTGTCTCGCTCTCAAAATATGGCAGACTTAAGATGTAGAAGTGATCAAATCCACACCAGTTCAGTTTCTCTAAGCAAACAGAAATACGACTGTTCAAGGAATAGGATGAAACTGAAACTTAGTCAGGGCAACTTGAACATTCCCATAACAAATTTGGAAGATGTTAACGTTTTATTAGTAGCTTCCTTCAGCATGGGAAAGTGGTAAATATAAGATATACTGGAAACATGTTCTCATTCAAAGTGAAGAGGTGGTGTAGCAGTCCCAGGGATAGCCGTGACACCCCCTGGTAGCCTGGCAGTTCCTGCCCCTCTGGTTCTTGGGTCTCCCCTTTTCTTGCCTGCCACACCTTTGATGCTGTTTTGAGCAAAACAAATCAGGAGACTGCTCACAAGTCCCCAGAGAACACTGGCCTACCTCTTCTAGATCTACCTAGGCCTTTGGTAACTGTCTTAAGGGCTGCAACCATGGCCTCAGACCACCCTTACAGCCATGCCCACACCTTGCAGGTCTTACCAGTTGCTTATTTTGGTGGGCCTGTGGCCATCAGTACAACCATGTGCTTCTCAGGGCCCCTCTGTCCTGGTTGATGTCCAGCCCTGGTAGGGCCTCTCGACTGCTCTGGTACCATTTCCCTCAGGTTACCCCTCTCAGGCTCTGGGTTTGCCTTCCAAGGGCCCTGGAATAACCGCATGCCCATCTAGCACCACTGAGACCTCCACCACCCGTCAGTCCTAAACCTAGTCCTCCAGTATAAACTATAACAGCCCCCGGGGTATAACAGAAACTAGCTGCATAACAAAGCTGAGTTCTTTGCAAGCCTTCAGCTCCTTACTTGTAGTCCTCACATCAGGCAGATTCTATTCAGTCACTCAGCCCCAGTCCTCTCAGTGCAGAGCTCCTTCCGTGGCAGCTTTCCAGGCCAGACTGACCCCCTAGCTCCAGTTCTGGGCTTACATGTTGCCTAAGCCAGCATTTCTCAAGTCGTGGGTTGTGACCCAACAACGGACCACAAGAATTTATGAAAGGGTTGTGAACAATCATAGAAAATGTGGAAAAGCATAGATTTTCTCCTTTAAAGGAGAAAAACATGGGAAACTGTGGGTTTCTCCTTGCAGGCTGGCAGGGTTCCAGGCTGCAATGGGCTGGGGGAAGTGGGAGGAGGGCAATCAGGCAGGGGCACCATGTGCATGTGTGCACACACACATGGACGTGGCAACCAGGCAGCATAGAGAGCAGCTCCTGCAGCTCCCCCAAGTTAAGTCTATAGGGCAAGAGGGGACATTGATGATGCACTGGGGGGGGGCACAGGTGACAAGTCAAGGGTGCATGCTCCCCCTCAGATTTGTGCAGCTGGTGGCAGGAGGCAAGGGCAGAGCAGCCCCCGCATCTATTAGTCCATATGTTGCCGGTGGCATGGCTGGCACATGGGTCCTAGCAGCGGCAGCAGCAAGAAGTCTTGATGCCCCACTCTGGATCCTGTCCGCTGGGCCACAGAGGTGGCTCCTGCTTATGCCAGTCTGGCCAGGTTGCAGCTCTATACCTACCGCGCGTGCACACCTCCCCATCCCACACACTGTGGAGCTGAGGTCTGGGGGCAGGGGACAGTAGATCAAGAGTGAGGGCACCAGCAGGGCTGAGGGGTTGGGGGCTGTGGGTTGGGGCTGAGGGACACCAGCAGGGCCAGGGGACTGCGAGTCAGGAGTGAGAGGCACTGGCAATTTTCATTGTCACTCAGGAGTAAAGGAGGGCCACCTGTTGATATTGCCGTTAGTTTTCCTGTTGATGTTGATTTCTGTCTTTAAAATTAAGACTGTTGAGCTGCTTTAACTTGTAGCATGTAGTAAGTACTTGGGGGCCAAAATATTTGTGTGTTTTCTACTTAAACTATTTACTAGGTTGGGACTGGCCAGTGATGTTTACAAATGGGTCCTGGTACAAAAAAGGTTGAGAACCACTGATCTGAGCCCTGCCTCTTTGGTCATGTGGCTTCCCAGTCACCCACAGGTGTTTCTACTTAGGCTAGCTGCCCTCCAGACCAGGTTATAGCTGCTAGGCTAGGAGCTACTGCCATGCCAGCCTGGTTCTGCCACGATATTATTGCATAGCAGCTGCCAGCTAGTTCTGCAATAGTTGATCTGCAATCCAAGCTGCCTCAGCCCTAACATACTACGGTAAAGCAACTCTGCAATAGACATTCACAGCCTCTAAAACCCTGGCAACCTATTCTCCTGTAGCCCATAACATGCCTCCTAGCCCACCTGGAGCACTCCCTACTGCTGATTCTCCCTTCAAGTAACAGAGAGTCTCTGCCTCTATTACAGGTGGAATTTAAAAGGTATTTGTGCTAAAGTCATAAACAGACAGAAGCAGTGAGAAGGGGTTTCAGGCTGTTCTATCAAATAAGAAAAGTAGCAGCAGAACAGACTTCTGTGACAAAGGTGTACACTGTATAGATGGGGTCTTAACATTTGTCTTGTACAAAATATTAAATAGTAATTAAATTCTAAGCAGACTTTTCCCCACCCACTTAATCTGATGTATGAATCCAGTTATTTTGGGCAATGAGTTCTCAAACAATAAAGATGGACGTCAAATCCAAATGAAAAGGCAAGAATTCTTGTAGGTGCCGTCTTTTATTGGATCAACTGGATGGCTGCTATAGATAAAGGTATGCTTTTGGGTATCACAGTACTCTTCCACAGGCTTCTTGCCTGAGAGACTTTCATGTACCTCTTGGACCATCACCTCAACCCTATCATTGGAATTAAAATGGTTCATTTGGCACTTAGTTGAGGTACCACTTTGTTAAAGAAACTGTCTGTGGTGTTTGTTACGGTTGGGTTTTGTTTTCAGCAGTTTAAGGTTGAACTTCTGTTTGATACACCTATAATACAGCTGTGCTGCCACAGGTACATTTAAGGAACTTTTTGACCATCACTTTTTCTCCAATTTAAAAAGCAGGTCCGCAGTTTGAGAAACTACAAGCCATGTGTGCCCTGCAACTCCTGCCAGACTTATGCAGCAAACATTTCTAAACACTTTTAGTATCCTAATAAAGATTTGGCCAGAGACTTCCAGAAACATACTTCTTCTCTTTGGAGTTTTATTGTCCACCTGATGAGGTCTGTTCTGTGAAGATACCTGGTCTGTAACAATACTATAGAAATCCATATAGCTCATTGCTACTCTAGCTTGCTTATATTTCGACAGATTTGTTTTTGTTTTTTTTTAATTAGAGGGACATGACTTACTTCTGTAAGGTTTTATTTTCTGTATAATTAGGTTTTTGCTTTATTTATGTGTCTAAAATATATTTACATCTGGAAACATCAAAAGATTGGTGCGTACTTAAAAGTGCATGGATCCCCACATACAGCTGGGGGAGGGCTTTCCCCTGAAACAGACATTACCATAAATGTCAGGGTGTTAGAGACAAAACGCCTGAGTGTACACAGAAATGAGATTTGCAGAAAGTCCTGGAAGTCCTTTGTTACGTTACACCACCTTAAATGAAAATACAGCCAAGAGCTGAGATAGCACCATCCCCCAAGTCAACTTCAATGTACAGCTCTTCTATGCATATGCTTTGCTTCTGCAGGGTTGATTGAAGTCTCTGGTAGGTGGTTGTTCTGCCCCTCTAAATGGGCAGCTGCCCAAGTGGTGACAAGAGGAGGTTTTTTCTTATTTGAACTGGTTATCAATTAGGGTTCCCTTCATCTTGGCTTTCTTGGCTTCCAGCTCAGCCTGATTAAAAGCAATTAGGACAGAATAAAGACTCTAGACAAGGCCAACGTCAACATGGGTCATTTTTCCCTCCAGTGCTTCACCGAGGTACAATTCTCTATTCTGCACATGGCTAGTGATGAATGCAACCACCTGCCTTCTCTGCAAAGTGGAAAACTTTTTCTCCAGTCTCTCCATTGTCTACCTCTGCTTCTGGGTGCACAGCCAAGTGCAGGTTAAAGTCTTTGAAATCCTGGATGATCTAGTGCTACTTAGACATGAGACCACTTCACACCTTATATCCTGCACTGGCAAGATCACTTGCAATGTTCTTGCTGTTGATTCCTAGGACAACATTTCCAGGATTAGCAACAAAGTTACCTCAGTGGCAGGTCCTTCTCTAGGTCTAGGACATGCAATACCTCCAACGGTCCATGCTAGAGCGTGGGTTTGGTAGGCTTGAGGGCACAACATGTTCTACACTTATGTCAGACAAAAGGAAATAGTTTGGTCTGTTAAGCTTAAGCCAGTTCTCTCCCTAAAACTGCAAGGTGCACGTAAAACTAAGCCAGGATGCCTGAACACCCACAATGAGGTTTTAACATATACTGCTTAGGCTTACCATTAGCACAGGGATTCACACCACAAAGAATGCACTGTCACAATGACAACGCACTGAAAACAAGAGACTCACCAGCTCCTGCAGCCTCCTCTTGCTCATGCCTTTCCGCTCCAGCTGCTTCTCAATCACTTTAGCATTCTGTGCGTACGAGTCTGCAATTTCTCTCTGAAAACCATACAGCATCCTGTCAGTCTGTGGTCTAGTGGTGCACTGACTAATTCAGGTGGTAAATGAGACACACAGGATCACCTTCCAGATCAATAACAACTAGAATATTCCTTACCTTCAGCCTGAACCTGTACAATGATCCCCTATAGTGTCCCACTGTGCTAGTGATAATATTGTTCAATTACACAGTGCTCCTGGAGACGCAGATCAACAGACACCTACACAATGATGACTCTGCCTGCCCTGAAATGCAGTCACCTCTAGAGTCAGTGTGGTAGAGGAGATATCTTTTATTAGACCAGCTAAACAGTTGCAAAAAAATCTTTATTTTCAAGCTTTCGGGCACACATTCCCTTCCTCAGGCACAGGAGAATGCAAAGATTGTAAAATTTTTCCCAGAAAGAAACGAAAATTCGTATTGTACAGGAGAGCTGGGGGGTGGTATAAGTTCTCCTGGCTGGAAAAAATCATTTTATGCACATTAGGTTCAGATGAAAGTTGGAGCAGTCTATTTACCTCAAAGCTGTCTCATCATCACCTCTAGATTGCACCATGCCTGCTTCTCAATATGCTTAGTGATAATGGCTTAGAACAGGAAGTAGGAATGAGAATTCAAGTCACTGGGCCAGCTTTAGCTTTATCTAGGGCAGGCTTGTCCAACATGCAGCCCTCCAAGCTGTTTTCTGAGACCTGAGGTGCTGCAACAGGAAACGAAAGTAAATGCTGTACTTTCATTTCGGGGGGTGGGGGTATCAAAATGTGATGTGATACCGCTTCCCATGAGATCTTTGAATATGGCTCGCCAGCCCACTGGGTGATAAAAAGTTCCTGATCCAGCCCTGGGTCATAAAAAGTTCATGATCCAATTCAAAAAGGTTGGATCTAGGGTGACTAGATGGGACAATGTGAAAGCCTGCTATTCCCCCAGGCTGAGGGAGTCAATGGTCAGGTAATGACCCAGTGTTCTTTACTTCACGAACACCTGTGAAGTAACAGTTAGTGTTGGCAAGGTTTCCTATTTCACAGTTCCTGCCACTCTGCATCCCCACCCTGAGATGATCCTCTGAAATCCAGGACTGCCCCAGCCAATCCAAGACATATGGTTACCTTTGCCATCATCATCATTACAGCCTGTAATCATTTTCCAGCTGGCAAAATGCCATCAGGAAAGGGCAAGGGAAGATGTGTACAATGAACAAAATCCCTTTTATTAGCATCACCATTCAGAGGAAGGTCTTCTAGGCTCAAGTATTCTGTTGTTGAAAAGCAGGCTAGCAATCGCCTTGTTCATTTCAGTCAATCAATTGGATTGCAACAGGCAAACAAAAGGAGGAGAATGACAAGGAAGGGGGGAAATGAATGAAGTCACTGCAGAGCAAGCCCAAAATAGCACAGCACAAGATACCCTAGCATGGGTGGAACAGGCCCCCTGCACAGCCTCTCTCAGGCAGAGGTATACTTCTGCTTGTTTTGCAGCAGGGTAGCATAGCCTGTGCAGAGGTCTACTTAGACATAGCTGGGCTGCTGCTAGGAGCTGAACTAATGCTACCAAGGTCCCTCTATTCCACACTGCAGTGTCAACAACCTCTAGACCCTCAAACTGCATCTATTGTGCAGAACCATCCCAGCACCTGAGCTAGATTTCTGCTGTCATATCCCATGTCCCTCAGTGACAGGTTAAACTTGCCCTCCTTCTGACTTCACCTGCAGAATGGCCGTTCTCATTCAGCATGGAGTTGATGTGACGGCGAAAGTGAAGCTATTCATTACGAAGGCAGCCAGTTCTGACAGCAAAAGCAAACAGCATCTAACAGCCAAAACTCTGCATGAGAATATCTAGGAATCCAGCTTGCATATGGCAATGTGACTCATAGCCTGCCTGACCAATTACTCTGTCTTTTCACTTCTTTCCTGTCCATTAAATATGAAAGTGTCAATTTGGGTACCTTTCCCCAAATTATGGATCTTACTGCTTACACACCACAGCTTTTCCCAAAGGCTGGTGTCAGCACCTGGCAACCTGGTAGCCTGGAAGGAAGTTGGCACCTCTGTTCAAATGCTCCAGAGGTTTTGACCCCAAATACACAGCAACAGGGAGGAAAAAGTACAGTCTAGGTGCAATGAGAAGACAGAACCAACCAGAGAAGCAAGAGCAACCTGACTTAATTAGCCTGTCTTCTTATTTCACAATGGATGGGCTGCCAACCCAGCCTGAAATGAAACAAGAGATATGTCTCCTAACTCAGGCTTAAACTGCCTGATAGGGTTGGAGGTTTTTCCTGTATGGACAGAAACAGGTTTAGGGGTAACACCCAGACCATAGTCCAGGGTAACTGTGCAGCAAAGACACAGCTCTGGAAAGCACAGAGGGAAGGTAAGTCAAAGAATATACAAGCTGAGTTGAGAGAACAACTCCTGCATACTAACTCAGTAGAGCAGAGTATGTAAAAATAGCATAAAGGATTTTTTTTTCCTTTAGCCTATCCCGGAATATAACAGATACCCCTCACTAATACCAGTAGGATGTAAGAGCCCAGAGCAGAATTCCTATTGGATCCAGTGATGTACAGGTAGCCGGATACCACAGTGAAGAGCACAGAGTAAATGCCTAAATAGATAAACGAGCATTCTGAATGTATTGCCATTCAACCAGGAAACCTTTGGAGAAGCTGCATTCAGTGCCCCAACAGGACACCACTTGCCAGCACTGGCAGGACAAAGGAAACTCACCGCCTCAATCTCCTCCTCCTCTTCATCAATGGTGGAAACAGTGACTGAACTGAACTTCCCCATGTCTTTGGTCCGTTTCGTCATCATCACCTAGGGGAAACAAAAAAGGTGTTACTTTAGCTCAGCATGTATTTGTATCAACAATGACCCCAAAGCTTTGAAGCAGTGTTTAACACAGCTGGCTGAAGAGGGAAAATAAAATTCAAACATAAACCAGTCTGAAGCGCTTGGTGATTTAAACCAATGTTCTGAGAGATGCTGGGAGTCCTCCCTACTCCTCTTTCTCTCCTCCAGTTTCAAAGTTTCTGTGCTTTAAAAACCTCTGCCAAGGAAGACTTACTGCAGTCAATTCCACTTTTCCAAACAACCACAAGGGACCATCAGTGACTGAGCACAAGCCCAAACTATGCATCAGAGATGGAAAAGACTTACTAGGTCCACCTGCACCCCTTTGAAAGACACAGTTAACTTTGTAATTCAAAGCCAAATTACCTTTTTGGGCGGCTCCTGTTTCTGAGTATATATGTTTGTTTTCCCAAAGCCCTGGCCAAACTTGACAACGGCTCCATCAACGATGAAAGTAACTGGGGCATTCTTCTGCTGGTGCTGGTAAAAGAGCAGCAGTCCACACCTGAAAACAGCAGTGCACATACTCGTGAGAAAACAGAAGTCTTTTCCTCCTGATTAGATGCTTTCAAAAACATCCTGCACTGTAAACCAGTCAACTGACCATGTAGCCAATTAACCTGTGTGCTATACAGGACAAAAATGATCTTCAAGTAAATAACCAAGTAAATAATACTCCCTTCTCGTCAGCACAGAGGTAGAAAAGGATCTTGGAGTCATTATAGACTCCAAGATGAACATGGGCCGCCGATGCAGGGACGCAGTCAGGAAGGCCAACTGCACCTTGTCCTGCATCCACAGATGCACCATGAGCAGGTCCAAGGAGGTGATCCTCCCCCTCTATGCAGCACTGGCCAGGCCGCAGCTGGAGTACTGCGTCCAGTTCTAAGCGCCGCACTTCAGGAGGGATGTAGACAGCATGGAGAGGGTCCAGAGGAGGGCCACTTGCAGGATCAGGAGGCAGCAGGGCAGGCCCTACAAGAAGCTACGAGACCTGCACCTGTTCAGCCTTCACAAGAGAAGGCTGAGAGGGGATCTGGTGGCCGTCTATAAACTGGCCAAGGGAGATGAGCAGGCAATGGGAGAGTCCCTGTTCCCCTGAGCACTACTCGGAGTAACAAGGAATAAAGGCCATAAGTTGACGGAGAGTAGATTCAGGCTAGATATCAGGAGGCACTACTTCACAGTCAGGGCAGCTAGGATCTGGAACCAACTTCCAAGGGAAGTAGTGCTCGCTCCTACCCTGGGGGTCTTCAAAAGGAGGCTAGATAGACACCTTGCCAGGGTCATTTGACCCCAGTACTCTTTCCTGCCCATGGCAGGGGGTCGGACTCGATGATCTGCTCAGGTCCCTTCCGACCCTATCAACTATGAAACCATCAACCTAAGGATATTAAATCTATACCAAGCATTAGAAAAAAAAAACTCAATACTTGAAGGGTCACAGGTTGAGGCTGAGACCATTTTAGAATACTGTTTTTGTTTCCCCTCCTATCACATGACCCACACCCTCCTGTTCAGTGTTACCAAATTAATAAAGCAAGATTTAAAAGTGCAGTAAAGGCATGATACCCCAGAACACTGAAAGAGTCCAGTCTTCGCACTACGACCCTGACTACTGCACATAGATGAAGGTTACAAAATGTTAATACCCCTACTATGTGTTAGAGGAAGAAAAACATTATTTCTAAGCAATGGAGCCAACAATGGAAAGCAATAAACAAATACCAAACAACCATACACATTCAGATCTCTCCATACTGTACTGATAACTTTTGCTCTGAAGTCACTTACTTTCCACACTTCTTCCTGTATTGCCGCTCAATACCTTCTGGTCTGGGGAAGAAAGAGAGAAAATGTTTACGGAAATGGGAAGGCATCTGACACGTCTGTAAATACGAAAGAGAGGAGTGCATTAGAAATCCACAGAGCAAACAGAAAGGAGGCCAGACGTGCAGCCAGATAAGGGGTTTCAGCTTTGTTTGCCTTTTTGCCTCCCTATTAGCAGATCTGTAGTCATAAAAGGGTGAGGTGATATACAGTTTCTTCAGTCTGGACTCTATACCAGGCACACATGGGACTGGGAAAGAATGGTTAACGGGGTGTCACTGAAGTGAGAGAGAATGAACAATACAAAGATGTAGACTAGGGAAGCAGTGTTATGACCAAGGAAAAGATACCTTCTGTCTCCTCCCTTAAAAACCTATTCAATATATTTTCTTCAAGAAAAACTTGCTATCTTGACTTCACCACTACTGTGAAAGAGGAAGACAAGAGATCTACTTGTCTGGCATGAATGCTGTGTGCCCCTGCAGGCTGGTGGGGCACGGCGAGCTCCCACAGGCAGCAGCAGCACTGACAGCAGTGGGGAGAAGAGGGGGGGAGAGTGTCGACTGGCAGTTGGCAACCACCCATCCCAGTAGGTAGCCAGTGTTGTCTGGTTTTGTCTCGCTCTTCTTTCTAACTAAATTCTTTGCCGTAAGAAATGTCTCAATCTACAGCACAGTAGAGTCACAGCAGAAGATGTTTTAATATCGGTATTCCCACATCATTCAAAACCAAAACTAAATCCAGTCACGTTTACTAGAATAAGCAATTTATTGGAATCCCAGAGGAAATTAAAACAAAGCATAAGGTCCGCCTATGCTATCCTTTAATCTATCAGTTCTATACTGCAATAACCAAAAGATTATTAAAGTCATTTACAGTTTATTCTCTGCAAGCACACTTTCAGGAAAAAGGGAATAGGTGTGAGGTTTGTTTCATGTCTGTTTTTGTTCTAGTCACAAAGCACGGACTAGAGCTGTGTTTTTCAGTATACTAATCTGCTGATGAGAAATTAATTTGTCCATCTGCAAAGCGGGAGAGATTTAGAATTTCTCTGGCATGCTCCCTTCTATGTGTGAGATATCTCAAACTTGGGCCTAAATTACCTGCCTCTATACGAACAGCACCTGATCCTGTGACAGTTGCTGCCTCAGATCTACCAGTGATAAATTCCTAGGTCAGAAAAATTATTTTCATCTATCAGTTTGAAGCCTGAACAGTGGCAGCATCACACAATCACACAAATGGTCAAGGGTGCCAAAAGAGGAAAAGAGGGCCCCGTACCGTCTGAGATAAACGTTCTCCTCTTCCTCTGTGTTACAGAATTTATGGGCATGTTTGGCTGCGTCAATCACTCGCGCTCTGTCTCTGGGCCGCATGGGCAGCTTCTCCAGTTGACAGTCTGCAGAAGAAAGGATGGAGATGGTTGTAGTTTCATCTTCATTGACAGGGACAATATTCTAGTGGTTAGAAGGCCATTTTCTCGTCTTTATGAAGACCAAACATTGCCACACATTTGCACCCATCAGAATAATCAGAACAGTGACATTACTCCATGAGGTTTCTCCACTGTCTCCTGGCGAGTTAAGTATTTAGCAGTTTACTAACCAGAGCCAAGTCGAGCTACTGAAACATGCCTGGAACCCCACAACAGCATCCCTCTTGCCCATCCCCTTTAGCCAGACAGCATCAATGGGCTAGAAAGAAGCAGCTGGATTCACCACAAGACAGCATCAGGAAGGGATCTGCTCAGAGAGGAGAAAAGAAAGGGTCCCAACACAAGCACTAGGTGCCAAAAGTGGTAAAAACCCTTAACACCATTAATCCTCAGCACTGCTGTGTGCCTTTGGCCCCCACCATATATTATGCATATCAGGCAATTAACGGGTGAACTGTGCAATAAATGTAGGCCAGCCAAAGCAATCATCACACCGTAAAAACGACAGCGCAGCTTGGCAGTCACCAGAAAGTGAGGGCCCTGCCACACGTTCCAGCAAAAGCCCGTTAGAAACGCTGAAAGCACAAACTTCACAGCAGGCTGTCACAGCCGGAAAGTCCTTTTTGTCACGCGAGCCGACTTTGCACGTGTGCCCTGTCTCTGCTTATAGCAAGATCCCCCCAACTCCTCAGCCGGTCTAACCAGAGATCACCTCTACCAAAGAGCCTGGCCTGCCGCAGCAGTGGGGCGGCGCGGCCTCACGCGGTGCTGCAGGCCCCAGGGCTGGCGTCGACCCCGCTCTCGCTGAGGGCCCCGGCCCGGCCCCGCCGCCCCTCCGGCCGCTCACCCAGCACCAGCACCATCTGCCCGCACAGGCAGTAGTAGACGTGCAGCGGCTTCTCGCCATCGTCGTACTCCTCGCGGTCGCGGGTGTCGGAGCAGACCACGGAGCGCGACACCACCTTCGGCATGATGGCGGCGGGAGCGGGGCGGAGCTTCGGGCGGGGGGCGGGGCCGGGCTGCTTCGCGCGTGTCTTCCGGTCTCCAGTCGGGGAGGTGCAGCGAGGTGGGGGTCGTTGGTGCCATGCTGTGAGGCGGTTGCGGGAGCAGGCTTGCGTTTTGCCTGCCGGGTCGGCTCAGGTGACAGACTGCCCGACACACGTGTGCAGCGTTTCAGACCCGACAGCAGGGCGGGTCCGGCCCTTAGGCGAACTAGGAAGTAGCCAAAATTTGGAAGAATTATACACGGAACAAAATAACAGGCGGGTCTTTCTGAAGAGCAGCCCTGGATGCCCACAGCTCCACCTTGCTCTAAGACCTTGGGTTTGGTAAGGGCAGAAAGACCTCTGAAAAGATCTCGGAGGAAAGATCACTAGAGTCACGACTCCGGCCTTTCCAACTCTTAAGCAGACTTACGACAAGAGCATACCGCTGGCAGTGTCATCCTAAGAGATGAACCCCTAGTCCTAGATCATCTTACAGCTCGTGACACTAGTTTCTTACACCTTCCTTCTCTCTTCCAACCATGCTTTTTTAAAATCTCAAGCACCCTAGATTTCATCTGTCGCGTTTAAGATTTCATCAAGAATATGAAAAGGGTGAAATAATACATTTTTTTTTTATTGTTCATTTCAAAAATCAAATAAGTACATGCAAACTTTGGCAATGCATAGGGGGTGCATGTGCACCCCCTGCAAAAAGGCACCGCCAACATTGCCAGAGGCACCCGTGGGTGGTCACCACTTGCCACCCCCCCCCCCCCCCGCCACCGACACTTTCAGTTGGCAATTGTTGCTGGCCGCCGTCGACTGCCAGTCAGCGCTTGCCACCCCCCCCCCATCAACAGCGCTGTGGCTACCTGCAGGAGCTCCCCGCTTACTGCCCACAAGCTCATGCTGCTGACGGCACTGCCACCACCTGTGGGAGCTTGCCGTGCCCCCCAGCCACTGGGGGTAGGCACTATTCATGCACATAAAAGTTAATTCTAGACTTCTTATTTTCCTCTATATTGGAAGTGGTGGGAGTGTTGAGATACACAGTTTGCCTTGGGTGCCAATTACCGTTGGACCGGCCCTGCCCAAAAGGAAATAGGCTGCAAGACAAATCACCTAATAAATAGGTACATCAGAGATGACCCTGGTGGCTCAAAATGCCATGAAAGAAAGAAATGTAAATCGTGGAGGAAGAAGAAGAGAGGAGCCTCTTTTTCCAAAGGGCTGCAGTTGGATTTTCATGCTTACATCATCAACTTGTGATCCGGGGAAATGCATCCAGCTGGAAAAAAAGAGAAATCCCACATTGGAAAGTTGGGGTTGTTATATAACAAAGTGCTTCACCTGAGTGCGTATTTGCCCACATAAAAATCTTAGACCCCTGGTCTCACAGACTGCTCCACCCAGAACCCTATTTAATCCACATACAACCCAGGGTTTTTATAGGTACAATAAATACTTGTTTTATTCTCATTTCAATTCAAGTTGAGAACTGCAATATGTGACACGTAGGATTGAGAGGCTAACTTTATCCTGATATCACAGAAAAGCTATTGGAAATCAAATTCAGAACAGGGTGAAGCAGATGTAACATGCCGCATACTAATTTCCTTATCACCAAAAAGCCAGCAGGGTGTCTTAATTAAGAAATATCCAGAGTTCCTCCACCTATTTTGAGGGAGGCATGAGGAATTAATTCTTCTGGTACTTCTAGATGGTCTTTGCTTAATATTATCATATCCAAAGAATTCTATTAAGTTTGTCTGCAAATTGCTATTGCAGGGATTATTCCTTCTAACAGACACAATATCTCTTCCCGCAGCTAAATAAGCTATGCAGTAGTAATAAATGGTGAATCATGAAGGCAGAAACAAAATAGGATTTTAAAAGCAGTAAAAATCCAAAGGTTTATGGAGATGAGAAAGTTGTCTGTTTACTTCAACCGCAACCATTGCAACAAAAAAAGGCTTTAAATAGACCCGTTAGACAAACCACAATGCAGAAATTAAACCTGCTCAGATGCAAAGCCTGGAATCTGTTATATGGAGGGCGGTAAAGAAGGGGGACAACTGTTCTTGTAGTAAATTGCTTGAAAGTTACATTCCTTGTTTCTGGCTCATCCACTCATCTATCTCAGTTTAGGCTTTTATATAATACTCATCACCATGGTATCTACAGGCCTTCTGAGAAATAAATTGATCCTGCTACCCAAAGCTTGACTACTGAGGCTGTGCGCATGCAAGGACTGAGAGAAACCTCACTGTACAACATACAGGTAGATGCTGTAGCTACAACACAACAGAGACTCCAGACAATTCGTTACAAGCAGATGTCTGGTGTAAAGAGGAGGTAGGGCCACTGCATCCACATATCCTTATATCCAGTAGTCTTGTAATAGTCCCAGGACTTCTTCCCCATGATTCTTTTTGGGATCCCTAACTCCATAGTGTGGTGGGCCCTATACTGAAATGTCAACCTGTGTAAACTTAAGCAACAAATCCTACACTATTATGCTCAGGTGGACCCTGAAACAGCTGAAATCCCTCTCCATGGATGCAGGGGTTTACCTGCGTGCATTACACTGTGGGAGTTCTTTGCACATTGTAGATCTTCTGTCATAGCTGGGCAATATGGATTTTACAGAAACGACTGAACAAGTTTTTTTGTTCATATAACCCTATTTTGTAATTTCCCATGAGCATTCTTCACCATTCTAAACATTCTGAATGCAAAGAATACAACAAACCGTTCTTGGCATTGCACATTCAACATATTCTTCAAGATATAAATGGAGTGCAAACAGCTGAGTGATAAAGTAAGAACAAAAAGTGATTTTACCCAATACTTATCTGGAAAAATTGAGGTATAAAAGCTGAATAATTTGGTGATTTCTTATTGACTTTTATCCCCTGCCAACTTGGAAATATGCTTCCTTATAAAAAGTGCCTATTGTATTAACTCTTGTAGAGTTAATACCAGTAATACTGTAATCTCCTATGCAGAATCAAATGGATTTCACGTTCTACGAATCCAAAAGTACAGTGAGAAGTGTAAGAATCTGTGAAGTCCGTTCCATCTAGTTGGGAGGCGTGGCACCTG